CTATGAAATGAAAACAATAAACAACTGCTGTTGGCTTAATAGCTTAAGTGTAGCTGGGACATTCAATCAATCTGATAAAATTGTGAGTATATTTCAAAATGGTGGAGGTTATTGCTATGATACATCTAACCTTAATGGTAATGGGGAAAATATATCCTCTCCTGAGAGTTCTTGAATAAACCTGTCTATCTGTGAGCAGTTTATTACATTCTCTCCTGAGTTCAGTCATCTGTGTCTGTGCTGAGTAAGGCTAAAGCACACAGCTGCCCAATTGATCCAAAAAGGTGCCTTGGATGAGCTTAGGCCTGATGCAGGAAGGGTGTCCTAGATGCCCTGCTGCTAGAATACAGTTGCTGCTGCCTCTCATTCTCCCTGCAGCAGAATTGCTTGGAAGCCAGGGCTCCTCACTGCCATGTACCTCCTGTGGTGCTGACAGGCACTGCCAACGGTGCCTACTGAGCAAGCAACATGCAAGAAATCAAGTGGACTTGTTGGCTCTAATACTCCATTTTGCCTGTAGTAAAATAGTTTGAAATAATACCAAATCCTAACCCACTCTGGTGGCAGGCTGGGTGTGAGGTTCCTGTCATTCACATGAAAATTTGTAGATGGACGGTAGAAAAAAATTGTTGGTGTCAGTGGTGATAGGAGGGGAGAAGTCAGCCTGCAGCTGTTCTTTGCTGGCTCAGGAACATCTGCTTGACTGCTGAGCAGGAGGACCAGACTGCTGTGTTGTGCCAGCAATGCTGCACAGACCCTGGAGAAAGCCAAAGCTGGTGCTTGGAGCTGGCAGTGCTGCCCTGGGAGGGCAAAGGAGCAATGGGGGAGAGCTGAGGCTACTCCTGGGGAGTGGCACTGGGATACCTGGCAGGATCAGCTCCCTGGGAGCCAAGCTGCACTAGTCCTGATGGCAGTAGGATTATCCCCCACCTTTGCTTTCAGTACCTGCTGCTGCATGCACCACTGCCTGGTGCCTCATTTGCATGTACAAATATTACCTTTCTTCAGTTAGAGGTTAAAATGATAAGTTGAAATAAATGATGCACTTACTTGTTGGCTCTTAAGTGTGATTGATTTAAGTGTACAGCCACTCCTTAACTCAGGTTTGTAACTCTGACCTTCACAATTAGCTCTAGTACATCTGCAAGTGGTTCATTTTCACTGGGCTATCTCTAATTGCACTGCAGTTATTCTGTTAATGGTTTTGTAACTATCCAAATCCATCTGCTGTGTCACCTTTCAATTGTTTCCAGGGGTTATGATTATCAGGATGATCAAACCACTGCTGGCAGGAAAGCTGTCTGTTCACAAGAACTGGAAATATGTCATATTTCAGTAAAACTGACTGTAAGATCAGACACAGGCTCAGCCTGGGAGCTCACCTGGCCAGCAGCAGAGGTATCAGAGGAATGAGAAGCAGAGCAGAAGTGCAGAGCAGTTCAGCTCCCAGGCCAGGCTCAGACACTGCAGCCAGGACACTGTGTAGTTGATAACAACACATCATGATAAAACCTTCCACAGCTTAACTGTATCCAAGCCCATTACCTTTTGTTTTGAATAAACTGTTGCCAGACTTATTTGGTATTTCTTGGTAGAAATCAAGATCTTGTCATCCTTTTGCTGGCCTGAAGGGTCTCAGTCTGCTAATTCCCCTCACACTTTTCTTTGTATCCTGTCTTGTTCAGTCATGACCTTCTGTTATGCGAGACCAAAAATGCAGGCAATGTTCAAAATGGGACTAAGTGGCACAATGGCAAAGTGATGTCTTACGGGTTTTGCTTCCTGTCTTCTTATTTGATTTGTCTTTTTGTCTATGACTGAGCATTAAGAACATTATACCACAACTATCTTTGGTGGCTCCAAATCTAGTTTGAATGGGAATGGTCAGAAACCACATGCCTTGAAAGTGGAAGAAATTACACAGGTACCTTATTTTACATATACTGGTCACTTTGTTATTTGGCTCGTTGGTACTGTGAGGTCCTTACACCTGTCTGAGCAAAGCATATTCTAGTCACAGGGATCTCATTTTGACCTGTATTATCTGGACAAATTGCTGGAGGAAATAATCAAACATTTGTTGTTTGTTATTTTTAGGGATGGTCAATATATCACTGTCATTAGTTGTTTCTGATGTAGAGAAGTGCTGTAGCCCTGTGGAGAACATTTTGTCTGCTCAGCTCAAGGGCAGAGCGCTTCAGATGCATCTGTAAGTCCTATTTAGTTTTTACATAAGTTCCTATGGAGCTCTTCATGCACTTGCTTTTGCCTATTGATTTAATAAGAAAGAGTCTGGCTTTTTAAACAGGGTTTTTTTCAGTGCCTGGAGCATTATAGATTTTTGTGTGTGTGATAGCAGTCTAACATAGCTATTGAGAAAGCAAAGGCATCCATAAACTTGCTTTTATGTATTCCTTTATCTTTGTTTCAAGTTAATTGACAAGGAGAGCTGAATTGCTGCACAGGGGTTGGTTCTGGGTAAAACAGCCCGTTAGTGAGAGGCCCATCTGAAGGCAGGCTGGCAGCTCCAGGACTGCTCCCCATGGAGTCACACAAACACCTGTGCTGCCCAAATTACATTCCCCTATTCCCAAGGGAACGTTCCTCTGTGCTCCGATTGATTTCTGTCTCTGACATGGCTCTGTGTGGGATTTTCTGGCTTTGAGAGCCATCTACAGAAATCCATATTGATTTGATCCTCCTGGGATGTGGGGTAGGAAAAAACAACAGCCCTTTCTATGGTGTAGCAAAGCTTTTCTGAGTGAATGGCCTTAGCTAAAAAACTTTATGCAAACTTTCGAGAACTGAACCTGAAGAATTTCCTGTCAGCAGGAATAGCAACTTTTTGAGCTAATGGGCTGTTCTGACAAAGGAGAACAGTAAATTTCTTTCCAAAATAAGTAGGAATTAAGACACTGAACTCATTAAGCAGCTGCCCTGTTAAGTGCTGTAGTGTCTGCTGAAATGTGGCTGCTGCTGAGCAAGATTTGCATTTGTGGGCACCATGGCATCTCCAATTACTGCTCAGCACTGAAGAAGCCTGCAGGGCAGCAACTATTAGCAGAGGGCTCTGCTAACTGATCCATGCCAGCACTTGTGCTGGACACCCAGTACTGTTATTTTAATTGCCCTCTGTCTTAAGTTTGAAAAAAGGAAAGTGCTCCTAGAGAAAGAAAAAAAAATAGGGGATGAAATGAATGTGCTTGCAGACTGTTATAAACCCTGCAATTCAGAGCACCGTGTGTTCTGGGACCAGCCAGAGAACACAGTGTGCACTGTTTGGCACACTGAACCCACCAGACACAGTCCTTCAAGCAGCTGATGAGAACTCCTCAGTTTTTCTCCAGTCCAATGCTGTGTAAAACAGACTGAGTTGGGACAAGTAGTCCTGTACAGCAACAGAAGCGTTGATAGAAGAGGTTGTAACCTGTGATGCAAGTTGTTTTCAATGCTAAGTCTTAACCTGTTTTTAGAATTTCCTAGGTATGCTTCAGCATGGAAACCCTGAGAATTCATTTACATCTTCAATATGTGCACTAGCAAGTGCAAAACTTTGATTTGAATTAAGTTGCAAGTGTGTAATTGTTAGAAGCCTGTCACACAATGTCAGATCAGTGATCCTCCTGTCTCTGGAAGTAACTCCAAACTTCAAAAGACAGAATAAGAAAATGTAAAGGAGGTAGGTGTAAAGGTGTGTGTCAGCTCAATAGCTGTGGGAATCTTCCCAAGATCATCCAATGTTGCAGCAGATCATGTTGTGATCAGATAGACCCCCAGTCTGAAAATTTCTGGGACTCTGTCATCCTCCTACAATGCTGTTAATATCTCAAGAGGAGAGCAGCAGGATGTGGCTGAATTAGGAGCATCATTATTCTCCTTTGTTATCATCCAAAACACGTTATCTCACCTCCCACTTGGAACTACACCTGGTTTATCACCAGCCAAAACAAAAAGCTACTGATGGATGTGCACAAAAATCGCTTTATGGCAATTATTCAATTGCAGCTGATGACTGTTTTGTGTGTGTATTAGCACACCTCAGTGCTTCTGTTTTTTTACAGGAGCAGGATATTCAGACTAGGCAGTGAAAGGGAAAGCTTGGCTCTGCAGGCAGTGCTGGTGGTGTACCCAGGTACATGGATGAGCACAGGACTCCAAGGAAATGTCTTTTCCCACCCACAGCTGCTGCAGCCCAGGTGAGTGGGTGAGGTGCTGCAAGAACATGGCTTATCTAGGGAGCCCTCCTACAGGCCTAGGAAATACATATTGAGCAGGAGGATTAAAGCCTTTCAAATATGGAATAGATTCTGCTTTCATAATATTTTTCTTTTCACCCTCCACAAGACTTGGCACAGCCTAGTGTGCTACAAAGCACCCTTTTTTCCCCTTACTCAGAACATCTTGAATTAATTCTTGGCAAAACTATCTAACTCTGTGTGTAGATAGGAACAAACTCCAGCCAAGCTGGGTTCTCCTGCAAGGCCACTCGCCTGGCTCCCTCTGCTCCAGGACTGTGTGAGTGCACAGATTTCCATGGGTGCGTGTGGTACAGCAAAGGCACCGATGTCAGGAGCCACACATGCAGCTGGGAAATGCAGATGTCTAGAACTGACACAGAGAAATGCTTTTGTAGATCATAAAGGCAACTGAAAATGCCCAGCAAGAGAGTGCAGCTCAGATCAGCATGTGTACAGTCAGATCTCACAGCATGAACCTGCACAGTGAGCCCTGCACTGGCATCTCAGCAGCTCCTCCAAAGAGAGGAGCCATCTGGAAATAGCTGCAGGTTTGGCCAGATGATCTGAACTGCCACATCTCTGAGAAGCATGGAAATCCCCAATCTGCCCAGGGGTCACAGAACACTTTCTGCTGCACCTTAGTCCCTGACCACACCTGCTGCCATCAGGGCTTGTGTGCTAGATGAAAATCAATCAAGATGTACGTGACAATTGAATATTCTCCAAACCGTGTCTCCCCTTCAGGTTTCTCAAAGTGCTGGGTCCATACAGCACCTGCACAGGCTGGAGCCCAAAGCACCTGCTTGGTGTGGGAGAGAATCTTTCCAGGAAATGGGTATAATGGGAAAATGCATTCCAATGCACCCTATCGACCCTCTGAAGGCACCAGCACCATCAGCATGGCTGTGGTCCTCGGGGACCTCCTTCTTTACTTACTGTAACCCAATTGATTTTACTGGGCACTCATTCCCTGGTCTATTTTAAGGTTTAGATTTTAAGGATCATAAGTAAGAACATAAAGCACTGTCAAGTATTTCTGGAGTTTATGACTGAGCTGGAAAGGGAACTCAAGATCCTTTTAGCAATTTACTCAGCTAGCATTTTTAAAAATCTGTTTGTCTGAAGGGGCAGAAAGAAAATCAGGAGGGCAGCAACTGTAATAATCACTGAATTTGCTTCTGGATTTTTTCCCCTCTATCTTCCAAAACCAAGTGTTACTGCCAAAGTTAATCCTGATTTCCTCTCAGAAACTGTCCACTGTCTCTTCCGTGGGCAGTGCTGAAATATAATGCAAATGTGAGCAGTTAAAATACCTGAAGAAAACAAAATCAGATTGGTGTAGTAACTCAGTGACGTTTTCCCCCCGCCCTTCCTTACAAAGCACTGCTATTTTACAGCAGTAGAAATCCTTTCGGAGTTTTGTAGCTGACTCAGAGCTGCAAGAAGAAGTAAAGAAGAAAAAGAGAGAGGTAATTTCCAAAGTGAAATTAAATTAACCACAAAATCAAACATTTCCAAAGACATTGGATTTCATGTAGATTCAGAGGCACCTTTTGGATTTATGCCATCTAAAACCAAAATATCAATACACATTTCAGGACTCACAGTCTTTTAATGCTCTGTGTTGCACTTCAGAAGCTACAAGAAATATGATTGGATTTTGTTATGCCTAAATGAGTAACTAGAATCTATTTTGGAATGTATTCTTCTATTAAAGCAAGAAATAATAGAGTTTGTGTGATTATTAATCTCTTGTAATACTCCTCAATTGTGCAGATTACTTTTCAAAAACACGAGCAGTTTCTTGCAGACAAGATGACATTTATTGGCATATTTTTCTTCTGTATGCTGATGGACATGCTAACAGGTAAGAGTACTAACGAATTTATTCTGGTTTATTTTTTCAAGCCACCAGAAATATTTTGTTACAAATACAGTATTTAGTAATTATAGAATAATTCTTCTTTAATAATTCTGTTTGGTATTGCTGACATTTTAATCCCAGCTGTTCAGGCTGTGAATTCTGACTAACAGCCAGACTAAGTTGGTTCACAGCTATGACTGATTGCAAATGGGAAACTCCTTGCTCTGCTGTTCAAGAAACAAGAATCTTTTGGCTACACAGAGGGTCCTATGTGGGCATTAAAGAACTTGTGAGCTTCTAGTTATACATGGAAAATGTTTGGTTAACAGAAAGTCTTTCTGTGTGGGAGCTGGTACTGACGTGTTTCCTCCTTGCTTGCAGATGCCCGATCCATCCAGGATGGAGATGGTAATTCCTAATGTGTTTTTATTTCCTTTGTGTCACTAATAATTAGGAGAGTAATTTGTAACTCCCAGACTTGATGCCCAGCAATGACTTTGGCAGGAATGCTTATTAACCTCAGTGGACTATGGAAAGGATTTAAGGATTTCAATTAGTTCTGGTGGAAATAGAACAGTGAATTTTAAAAATGACATATTAATGTGTAATAATAAAGCTAATATCCAGTCTTAAAATGAAAAGGGATTAAAGTCAAGTCACTAATTCTGCTGTACAAAATCCTAACTGGAATGCACCAGATGTAAAAAAGTATAGGACAGCTGAGAATTTTGTCTGTCCTGAACAATAATGCTGTATGTGTATCTGCTTTTTGGCAAGAGATACCAGCTTTCACGACAAAAAGCTTAAAATTTACAAATTGCCACAAATCCAATTAGAGAAATGTTGGAATAAATCCCTTAGCACAGCTACCCTGTGGTTCATGTCACTTTGTGTGATTAGTCCATTGGATTAGTGTTTGCTTTTGATTAAAAAATCCTCAACACCCTAAAGATGTTTACACTGGCTTACTGATGATTCTATTGTTTAACCTCTAATGGGCTTTTCAGAGAATTCTGTCTGAAAACAAAGTTGCACAGAAGTATCTGCAATAACCAAGTACTGCCATTGCTGGTGTACATCTCAGTTAACCAGAGGGCAGCCAGCAGCACCTCCAGTGCACAAATATGCAGAAAGTATTATAACAGATATCAACAGAATAAATACACAATAATATGTGTACTTAATATGATTACTTATCATTCAAAGATTTTCTCCCTTATGCTCCATCCTATTTCTTTAGAAAGAAATATTTTTAATATATCATCTCTAAAATATTTTTAATATATCATCTGTGTTTGTGCACAGCAAATATTTTTGTGGTAACTTTCGCAAGAGTCAGGAGAGCCTGCATCAATCTAGAATTAGAACCCTGTTTAGGCTGTATCCTGTTGCTCTCATTACCAGCAATTATTGTTTTCTTTCACACTGGGCCAAGCAGCAGCCTGCAAAGTGAATCTGAGGTCAGCTGGTATAAACAGTGAGTTCTTCTCTGCAGACTGGAGAGGAGCATTTGGCTGGTTCATTTGGTTTGTTATGTGCCATCTGTGCCTGCACGCTGCAAACTTTACTCCATAAAATTAAAGTCTGACAACAGGATTGTTGAAGGCTCTTAATTCCTACTAAAGACCTTGGCCCCAAGCTGAGTGTAAAGACTTTCATTCATCTAAATGGGCTTCAAATCAAAATAAAATACTGTGTTTAGCTTCACTACACAGAAAGACATTTGTGACTGTGCTCTCAGCTGCTGTTTACATTTTATATCTGCTTCTCTGTTTGCCCACATTTGGGCCCAAGGGTGGTCAGAGGAACATTTTCAGAACTGGTTTTGTTTTGCTGCTGAGTTGTAAATCTTGTTTCAATGACTATATCACATTCTGGTACTGCTAGTGCCTTATTCTTTATATTTTTATATCAGGCAAAGCAAATTATGGGAATGAGGGAAAATGGCTTTCAATTGCAATCACTCCTTGCTTTGAAATGACCAGAAGCCTTCTAGAAATTAAACCAGCCCGATGAATTCTTGAATTGGTGTAAATGTGGGCGTGTCCCTTCATTCCTGCTCCCCATCTTATCCCACTCTGTCAGTGCTGGTGCATCTGGAGCAGGGAATACCGGCTCCATTTTCTGCAGTGGGTCATGGAGAGGGGTCAATGGCTCTCGTTGCCTCTCTCCTGCCAGAGGAGCACACCAGCCCCCAAAGGGAACCCACAACCCCAAACCACAGTGGCTCCAAGCCCAACCTCTCAACAAAATCTCTTCATATTATACTAATCTGCAATATTTTATTTTGGTTGGGTTTTTTTAGATCTCTACGGGGAAGCTGCAGCCTTGCCCTACTGGCCCTTCTCATCCAATGATTTCTGGTCCTATGTGGAATATTTCCGGACCGTAGGAGCCTACAACAGGATCAATGACATGGCCAGAGCCTTCTTTGCCCAGTTCCCTTTTGGGAGCCACCTTGGCTACCATGTGCGTGACCACGAGCACTGAGTGCCTCCCTCAGCCTTGCCACAGCTGCTGCCCAGGTGTTTGGGTGAGCACCTGCCTGCCACTGAACACACCTGGGCTGCCTTCACCTGCTCTGTGACACCATGGTCATGTGCAGCATTTTATGGCTTCAGGACTCTCTTTTTTACCATTTCTTGTAAAGGTGTTTGAGTGAACACCTGACTGCCAGCAAACTCTGTGCCTCAGCCACTAAGTGACACTGTAGCCACATGCAGCATCTCAGGCTTTGAATTAATCCTTTTTACAATTTATGCTTCTGTGTGATACAATAAACTTGTTCATTCTGCTGCATGGCTTTGGGAGCTGGTGGTGGTTTTTTGTTTGTTTGTTTGTTTGTTTGTTTGTTGTTTTGTTTTGGGTTTTTTGTTTTGTTTTGGTTTTTTTTTACAGTGATGCTCTCAGCTTCGTCTTGGGAGACTGCTGTCCGTGCAGAGGAGTTCTGTGTGTACAGGAGTTATTCAGCCAGTGCACCCAGTCTGGGGGCTGGAGAGGCCGCAGTTATCAAGTTGCACCCACCTTGTTGGTGCTATAAATGAAAATTAGTCCAGCCAAATTAAAAATGAAATGATAAAAAATTTATTTAGGATCGAATTCTTTCTGAGCCAGCCACAAGGAAAAGGACATTGCCGAGCTGGGTGACAGGAAGGAGCCTCTTGGCAGAGGTTCCCCTGGACACACACACCCCCTCCTGGACCCTGCAGTTCTTATAGGAAATGTTCTGCCCGAGGGCAGGATTTCAGCCATCCGCCTTTTCTTTCTATTCAGAGTCCCACATATTCATAAAGTTCTTTTCTCCAAGCCGGGGTTGAACAATCCAGGTCCAGGTGTGGACGATTTTTCCTGATGGTTACAGAACCGCAGCACTCAGATGTATCAGCCCGGAGGACTCCAGCGATCCCAATCTTGGGTCGCTACCAGGATGATCAGCTCCCAGGTGTTCCAGTATGGCCTTTTGGGACAGCCCATCTCCAGGATGATCAGCTCCCAGGTGTTCCAGTATCTCCTTTTGGGACAGCCCATCTCCAGGATGATCAGCTCCCAGATATTCCAGTATGGCCTTTTGGGACAGCCCATCTCCAGGATGATCAGCTCCCAGGTGTTCCAGGATGGCCTTTTGGGACAGCCCATCTCCAGGCCAGCCACATGTATTAGATTGTAAATGAGGCATTGTCCAAGAAAACCCGGCTCTGGTGTAACCGAATATGGGAGGGGGGCAGCTCTCAGTGCTGGCGTGTGTACTTTGTAATAACTAAATATTATACATGCCAAATATGATTTGGCAGGGCCTGCTGTCACCATTAGGGCGGGGCGGGGTGAGCAGGAGGCTGAAGCGATATGCGGAATAAATAAATAGACTCCACAACTCGAGGTAGTTATGAAGTGGGTATGTATTGTCAGCGCCCGGCACAAGTGAGATAACTCTCTGAAATCTTGTGCCCCGAGCTGAAGTTTGCCCCCCGACTTTATTCACAAAGGTGTTCCATATGCAATACATTACACAACTTTTCTATGCATATTCAACCCCTGGCCCCGCCTGTCTTCGCTTCTCATGCTAAATAGGTCCACGCCCTTCTGGGCATGCATAGTTTTTTGTGGGGGCTTTTATGGGGGTCCCTGGTGGTTTTTGAGCTTCAGATCATCATCTTCCTCTGCATTGAACTTTTGAACTCTCCTCCTCTGCGCTTGCGCTTTTGGTCCTTTGCTCTCCTATCTGGATAAGTTCATCATCCTTGACATGCTGGAGACAGAGGGCTTCCTTGTCTGAAGTCTCGGCATTCCGGGTCCTTTCCGCTATTTGTCTTTTTGCAAGAAGCTTTAGAGATCTTTGTTTTTCTTTCCTATCCCTTTTTGTGCAGAGGTTTCTTAAAATTCAACACATGATTCTACAAACATGATACATTCATTTTTGATATATTCATTTTTGATACATTCATTTTTGATACATTCATTTTGTTAGTTCAAGTGATCTCTGGGAAATCTTTTGTTTCAAGGCGGCCTCCATCGCTGATCGCCATGAGGACGGGGCGGGGTGAGCAAGAGGAGGTCTCCATTGCCGGTCACCATGAGGGAGGGGCGAGCAGGGGGCGGCCTCCATTGCCGGTCCCCACGGTGACAGGGGCGGGGTGAGCAGGGGCGGCCTCCATTGCCGGTCCCCACGGTGACAGGGGCGGGGTGAGCAGGGGCGGCCTCCATTGCCGGTCCCCACGGTGACAGGGGCGGGGTGAGCAGGGGCGGCCTCCATTGCCGGTCCCCACGGTGACAGGGGCGGGGTGAGCAGGGGCGGCCTCCATTGCCGGTCCCCACGGTGACAGGGGCGGGGTGAGCAGGGGCGGCTCCATTGCCGGTCCCATGGTGACAGGGGCGGGGTGAGCAGGGCCGGCCTCCATTGCCGGTCCCCACGGTGACAGGGGCGGGGTGAGCAGGGGCGGCTCCATCGCCGTCCCCACACGGCCCCGCTGGGGCGGAAGTGACGGCGCGGAGCGGCCGCCATGAAGCCGGCGGTGGATGAGATGTTCCCGGAGGGAGCCGGCCCGTACGTGGACCTGGATGAGGTGAGGCGGGCGCTCCGGTGCCGCGGCCGCGGAGCCGCGCGGCGGAGGCGCTCAGCGGCTGCTCTCGCAGGCAGGGGGAAGCACGGGGCTGCTGATGGATCTGGCGGCCAACGAGAAAGCGGTGCACGCCGACTTCTTCAACGGTGAGGAGCGCCGCGGCCGGGGCTGTCAGCTGCTCTCTCTGGCCGGGCTGCTGGGGTCGCTAACCTTGTCGCTGAGCACGTCTCGGGGAGCGGTGGTGCCGGTGCCAGCGCTAAAACGCGGGGTTTTCCTCTCCGGGGAGTTCAGCGTGTTAATCAATACAAGCAAAAATACCTTGGTCCTTCGCATAACGAATAGCTTATGTTAAACAGTGCAAATACGTGTAAAAATGTGGGCTTCTCTGGAGAATCTGTTCCAGTGCCTCACCGCCCCTCACAGGGCCTGAACCTCCGTCCTGTCAGTTTGAAGGCATTGCCCCTTGTGCTGCCGCTCCAGGCCCCTGTAAATAGGCTCTCCCTCCCTCCCTCAGGGCTGAAAGGCTGCACTTAGGCCACCCCGAACCTTCTCTTTTCCAGGCTGAACAAGCCCAGTTCTCCCAGCCTGTATGTAAGTGTTTACAGCTGCTTTGAGAGAGAGCAGCTACATGTCAGGCCACGCAGGGGTACAATATACAACACTGCGCTGCACTTGGTTGCTAAAGGGGTTTTTATGCTTCTGAGGAAATGCATTTAGACATTGCAACGGTGAGTTTTATAAGATTTATTAAATCTTGCAATGGCAGTGGTAATATCACAAACTGCTGTTAATTCCAAAATAAAGTACATTGCTCATTTTGCCCAAGACATAGAACACAGGACTGAAAGGCAGTTCTGCTCTCAGCAGTTGTGGGGACACCCTGTTGGAGCCAGCGTATTCAGGAGGAGTTGTTTCCCTCAGTTTCTATCATCACACTGTGGCATTGTGTTCCATTGGTAGTTTAGGGTTCTTCTAAATGAGGATTCATCCTCAGTTCATTGTAGGTGCTTGTAAATTACCTTCTATAAGAATAAACACTGTGTTCAGTTAGGTGTTTAGTTTATGATCAGTGTACAAAGAAGATGCAAGGCTGAGTAGTTAGGAGTAATTCCAAATGTGACTGGAACAATTTCACTACTGGGAGATGTGTTCTGAGACAGAAATGTTATTGACACCTTTAAAGCAATTAAATACTTTTGGGGAAGGAATATTTAACAGAAATCTCAAATTGTTAACCTGCAAAATCATCATCCTGATGCTACATTTCTAATAACTGATGGTGCAGTTATCTCTGAATTCACCTTTATTTCTGTCCTTAATCCAAGGAACAAATACTGTACTTGCATGTGCATTTGTAACACTGAAATTCTGAGGTTGATTTTTGTCTTGTTTTCCTGACTAGATTTTGAAGATCTCTTTGATGACGATGACATCCAGTGAACTTAATTGTGCAGCAGAGCTGAGATGTGGATTTCTCTCTAGGATCGCCTTTGCAGTCCATTATTTATTAAATTAATCAAAATGGCAAAATTACAGAGGGGGGAATAAAGCCTGGATAAGCTGCTTGGGGAATATGAAAACCAGATGGTTAAAGGCAACTAAGTAGGGAAGTGTGCACTGTTATTTCTAGGAAGCTGTGTGTAGATTTTCCTGGAAATTTCATTGCTGATGTGCTTGTTGAATAAAATACTGAAGAAACACTCATCTCTCTGGCTTATAAAAGTAGAAATTGCTGTCTTCTGAGCTTCCTTAGAGTGATTATTTTGGTATTAAATAATTCACTGTTGCTTTTGGATATTACATAAAAGATATGCAGTAGGGCACATGCTGCCTAGAAAGTTTTGTTCATCCCACAGTAAAGGATTGTCTCAGGATCAGATGGCTGCTTGTTCTGAATAGTCCAACTCACTTGTTGGTCACACTGAGAACAGTGTGGGTTGTCTTTTGTTTCAAGACAGAACTACCACAGCACTTCACTTTTAATTTAAGGAACACAGAAACAAAAAGGTACTTCACCTTAATATGTTAAGCAAAGGAATGTTCTGACCCAAGATTAGGGGAATGCTTGGATTTTTTAAAATATAAATTTAAATATAAACTTAAAAATACAATTATATTCTTGAAATTGCACTTGATCGATAAAGAAACCTAAAATTATTTTCTTTTCCAACAGAAGCTAATGCACTTACTGGTCCTTAGAGGTACAGTGTATATGAACCAGGCTGTTGAAATACTGGCTCAGATTCTGACATAAGCTTTTCAGAATGTATAAATGTTTCCTTCTTACCCTTCAGTGACCAAACTGAATCTCAGAATGAAAGGAACAGGTGAGTTTTTAGTAGATTTTTTTCATAATCAAGAGTGTAATCCTGTCCAATATCAAATGCAATCTGTATTCTATTAATTGATCACAGAATAAATACTGTGACTGATCTTTCTTTAAACACTTCACACTACTTAAATTTTACCTGCACTGAAACCCTTTCATACCTCTGTCACATTTTTATTTCTGTAGATTGCCTTGAAAAAGGAAATCTTAAATCTAAGAGTAACTCTTCCAGCCAGTGAGTTTAAAAATGCAAGCACAATAAACCCAGTAGGATTTGGGTGTCTTTTGATGGTGCTGCTGTGGATTTCTGAAAAGCCATGTTTCATCATGCAGTGTGTTCTAAATCAGACCCTGCCATGTTCTCTGCTTGGTGCCTGACCCTGCTGTGTCCCTGGAGGAACAGCCTTGCTCAG